TACTGCACCAATGCAAAGCATCCTCCCAGTACTGGCGCCTTTCAAAGTAACGTGTGGTGTCTCTGTTCATGAAGGGAGGGGGGATTTTATTTTTTATTTATTCCCTGTTATTTTAAGCTCATCATCTCAGGGGCAGTTTTTGGATGTTTTGCACCCTTTGGGCCAGGGGATGCCAAACATTCAGGGTAGAGAGGGAACAAAAGTGTTTCACAGTATCTGCTGTGATCAACCCAGGCCAGCAGAGAGGCCCAGGAGCAAGGGCTGGGAAGTTTTGTGCATCCAAATGCAGCCTGGTTCTTGCTGAAGAAAACCAAATGCAGGCTTCCAGGGTCCTTGTCCCCAGTCAGAGAGGAGAACCAGCCCTGCAGCTGTCCCTCCCCACTCAGCCCATCCCACTCCCCACTGCTTCCAGCCTTGATTTGGGATGGAGCAAGACCATTGTGGCTGATCGCCACACGCCCCAGCAAATTCCAGCTGTGAAACACTTGGGAAAGTGTTCCTTTTTCCCAAAAAAAGCTCCTCAGGGCTTGCTTATGATTCCCAGCCTCCAGGCTTCACATCCCAAATGCTCCCAAGGACTGTTAAAGGTCCATCAACACATTTGAGCTGGGCAGTGACTGGGGCTGGTGTTTTTGTTGGATGGTAGCACAGGGCTCTGAAGCTCCTTTGGCCACCACTCACCCCGGCAATTATCCACCACAGGCTGAGGCCACCTACCTCTGTGGGTGCTGTGGGGCTCCAGGAGCCTTCCCAGGCTGCTTTGAAGACAAAAACATGTGCTAAGTGTTAAGAATTAGTGAGATTTGAGCGTGTGCAGTGGGTTGGGATCACTCCTGCAGAGCTCAAGCCCTGCTCCAGTTTGCTCCTGCTGAGCAGAGCTCTTGTTACAGATCCTTCTCCTCTGGAAAGACCCAAACCAGGACATTCTGGGTCCTACCTCTGGAAAAGGACACACATTTGGGACATTTTGGGTCCCTCCTCTGGAAAAAGACCCAAACAGGGATATTTTGCATCCTTTCTCTGGAAAAGGACCCATGACAGGATATTTTGGGTCCCTTCTCTAGCAAAGAACCCAAACTGGAACATTTTGGGTCCCTCCTCTGAAAAAGACCTAACACAGGATATTTTGACACCAAAAGCAGCTCTGTGGGCACCTTTTTTCTGCATGAATTTACATGTTTTTTGTTAAACCTGACAAACTTCAGCTAAACTTAAAAAATCCCCCCACTCGGGTCAAAATAAGGCTCTTACTCCCTCTCAGTCTTCTGTACTTGTAAAAAAAATTTGGTTGGATGTTACTTTCAAGCTGTAAGAGCAGAACTTTCCCACGCTGCCTCTCCATTTAGCAGGGAACATACCAGACCTGTAATCACGATCTTTATCCCGAGACAAGCTAAAAAACAAAATGTTTCTGAACTGCTGAAGGTAGGTGAACATTTTTCAGAGTGTCACATATTAAGGTGGTGTCTAACGAGCTCCATGTCCCACTTATAATTGAAACAGAAGAGAGTATTCACTTTTCATTCATTTTAAAAAGACTATTCAAATACCCTTTCATCTCCACTAAACAGCCTGCCATGTATTTGAAGCCATTTTATATATTGTTTCTACAGACATCCAAAAAAACAGAGGTGAGTATTTTGGAACATTGATAGAAAGATGCAAAGGCTTGTGAGGCACTGAATGGCTTCAAGCTGCCTCAAACACATTCATCTTCCCAAGAAGAATTAGGCACAGTGTGATTCATTTTAATAGCAGAAGAAAAATAATACTACGATGTAGTGCTAAGTTCCCAACCTTTGATGGTAGACTAAAAAAAGAGAGAGAGGGGGGAAAAAAAATCTTTCTTCCCTTATGTTGTTGAAGTCTCCCTACACCCATCCGTTATGTCCAGCTTATCAATTAAGATGAACCCCATGAACTTCAGATGGTTTTTTTAAAACAAGGCACCATCCATTTAAATGTGTAAAACTGCCTGCAGCTCCCTTGAACTGCAGGATTCAGTCCCCAGCTCTGTGTACTCAGTGTGAAGTTGAGCCCTTTGATACAAGTTTTACTGATGTTTTAAATGAAGTCTTCTCAAACACACAAAATAACCCAGATAATTTAAAACCTCATAGAAAAAATAGGGTGGAGAGAGGGGAGGAAGGAAAAAAAAAAGCCCTAGTCAGTGCCATTGGTGAGGCAGAAGCAAAGGGCTGGCTCTGGTTACCAACAGGACAGACCAAAAGCAGCTCCACCATTGCCTTGCCGGGAAGGTCTGGGACACAAATCCATCCCCACTGTGGGCAGCTTCCCTGAGGACAAATGAAGCCTGTTCAGCCATGAAATAGGTTCTGTACCACAGCAGTGAGAGGGAAGGAGCACGGGCAGAGCTC